CCACAGAGCCAGTCAATGTGCAAAATCACTTTAACAGGCAACAGCTGGGTTTTCCTGTGTGGTGCAACTACGCCTTAATCTCAAAATCTGCCAAAAATAGTTTATTATATTTAAAAAAACAAAAACAACAACAAAAATATCTCTAGATGTGGTGGCACACACCTTTAATCCTGGCACTTGGGAAGTAGAGGCAGGCAGATCTCTGTGAGTTTGAGGGCAGTCAGGGCTACCCAGAGAGACCCTGTCTCAAAAAACAAAACAAAAAAACCCAAACCAAACAAAAACAAACCATATTTCAAAATTACTATAACATGGCCATCTTAAAAGGGTATCAGTAATAATTAACAACATCTTAGTGGCATTCAACAGCCACTAGGACAGTTAAAATCAAAGACAGACAATAGCAAGTGTCAATGATAAACTAGTAATTGAAACAGCCTGTTCAGAAAATACTTTGGCAATTACCCAGAGAGTCAAACATACAGTTACCATGTGACCCAGCAATTCTACTTCTAGGTCTACACCCAAGAAAAATGAAACCATATGTCTACAAAAACAAAACAAAACAAAACACATGTATCATAAGTGTTCAGAGACATTATTCACAACAAAAAACAGAAACTTACATGATCAATAAGTAATGAAGAAATAAGATGTGGTACACATCCATATAGTGGCATATTACTGAGCAATATATAGGAAATACTTGGGGCAATTTTGAGATAGTTCAGAAGGTAAAGGTATTTACCATCACACCTGGTGTCATGACTTCAGTCCTTACGACCTACACATTACCTTCTAATCGCCACACACACATTACACATATGGAGAGTAAATAAGGCTCTACAGGGAGCACTTGCTTCAAAAACTAAAACAAGGATGCCTGGTGATGGTGGTGGTGGCAGCAGCACACGCTTTTAATCCCAGCACTCAGGAGGCAGAGGCAGGCGGATCTCTGAGTTCGAGACCAGCCTGGTCTACAGAGCAAGTGCCAGGATAGGCTCCAAAGCTACACAGAGAAACCCTGTTTCGAAAAACAAACAAAAACAAACAAACAAAAAACCCAAACAAAAAAAGTGTGATTTGCCTAACAGCATAAGCTTTCAATATTCTTTTTTTCCTACCCCCTCACAGGTTAAGAATTTTCAGAATCAAGTATTTCCCAACATCAGCCTGCCATTTGAGAGGATGTGGAGTGCACTGGGGACTCAGTCAGGGCCTCCTGTATCTGAACCACACGCTCCACCACTGAACCCTAACCCCAGCCCCACTCACAATCACTAAGCATTTTTAAAGGCAATCTTATTGCCACCAAATACTACTCATCAACAAACTTTAATCTGTAGTAAATATCAAACCTACTAAATTCTATAAGAAAAATTAAGTTACAAAATGGTAGACCTTGTCTTGTGCTACAAATAGTTTTATATTTTTTTTGTACATGTTTCTAAGTCTGCTCCCCTGACTCACTCAGCAGTTTGATGTGTTTTCCGTTTGTGGTACAGGGGTAAGCTTTCAACTTTCATCACATTTTCTGTTTCCACAGAAAACAGAGAAAGCTTTAAACATTAAGCAATATCAGAGTAAGTTACTTTAGGAAGGTTTTACTTTTACCCATTAAATCATTTTTAGTTACAGCATAGTGAAATATAAACTTCTACGGAATTTAAAACTTTAGTGTCACTCTTTAAAAAAAAATCTTACAAATCTTCACATAAATAATTTTTTCATTTATTATATTTCTAAAGTCCTGAAATAAAATGGGGAAGCTGTCAGGATGGAAATTTAAGCTGGGAATCTTAGACTCAAGAGCTTCATGATTTATTATCGCTACACATTCATTAAACAGCTACAATAAAAAATAAAAATAAACAAACAAAAAAACCTTGTACATAGCAAATATTAGCAAGGATACAGAACAAGAGAAATACACACCCATATGCTGTTGGTTGTGTCTTATAAAACTAAACAGAACTGGCCAGATGAGGTGGCGCAAGCCCTCAATCCATCCCAGCACTTGTGAGATCCAAGTCAGCCTGGTCTACAAAGCAAGTTCCAGGACAGCTGGGGCTACATAATGAAACACTGTCTCAAAATAAAACAAACAAAATAGCAGGGCATGCTGGCACAGGCCTTTAATCCCAGCACTAGGGAGGCAGAGGCAAGTGGATCTCTGAGCTGGACTATAGAGTTCCAGGACACCCAAGGCTGTTTCACAGAGAAACTCTTGTCTTGAAAAACCAAAACAGCACCACAACAAAACTCAAAAAGTAAACAGAAGCATTCTAATGCAGATAAAGGCATATATTGTCAAAATGATTTATATGCGACTGTTCACAGCAACTACAATTGAGAAAGACCCTGGACAGTAGATTGTGGCATATGCATGCTATGGAAAACCACAGAGCAGTTAGGTACTGAGCTGGGGACATGGGTCAGTGGTAGAGTGGAGCCTGTGCCTAGTATGCAAACATCTGGGGTGGGAGGGGTACAAACATTCACAAGGATGAATCTCAAAAATATGCTGAAGAGGGAAAGAAAAAAAGTCTTTCCCAAAAGATTTCATTATATACAACTCTGCGTATGTGAACTTCTGGACAGGCAAAATCAATCTCTGGTGGGGGAAAAAAAAATCCCCACGGGGGTGACAAAGAGTGACTTCTTTAAAGAGAAGGTGAGACAAAAGCTTTCAAGTCAGCTCTAACAGGCCACACCTAGTTGTGTGCTTGGCTGGCACAGGTGTAGATGGGTTTGTGAAAACTGGCTAAGGCACCCACGTGCACATCAAATTTATGTGGAATAAATTTCCACAACAGTGGTTTTCAAGTTAACTAACACGCACACGGCTTACGTGCCTTGTAAGGTGATACCGATATCGGTATTTACACCTTAAAAATGTATTTTAGAAATAAGGGACGCATAACACAGCAAGTGCAGGAAAATGTCAATCGTGGGTGAGGCACACACATGCTGGAAAACACAAAGACGTTCAACCTTTTACAGCAGCGTTAACAAGGAATGGTGATTCAGTCAACAGTAGTTCCCTCAGCTGATGCCACACACCCTCCTGTTTCACAAAAAAAAAACAAAAACAAAAAAAAAAAAAAAAACGACTTCACCTTTGGAACTAGATAAACGTTCAGAGAACCTAAAGGCACATTCCAGTGCCTGTTAATTGCGTCCTCGCACAAAACCGTCCACGATGTTGAGACTGTCAACAATCCGAGTGCTCTAGAACGTGCTAAACAGATAAATCTGCTAACTTTTACCAGGGGCTCTTAATTAGCTGCAAAATTTGCTTTCCCTGAACGGGATTTAAAGCGATTATTTGTTTAGTAAGACTCCCCGTTAACACCAATTCTGTTTTCTTGCGTCCGGCGGCAACCACCTAACACCCCGGCAGGTAGGTATGGCTCTCGTCCCCCTGGAGTCGAACAATAACCTGCCCCGTGACGGGCGGGCGAGCCGGCGAGCGGGCGAGCGGCTGGGCGATGACGAAGGTTATTGAGACAGAGTCAGAGAGTAGTCCGTGAATCAAAGTCTTTGACTTTTCTCCCTCGGGCGTGAGCTTATCACCAGGCTGACTGAAAGCGATCTCCACGTCACAATTTTAAATATATATGTATATATATAATAGCGTATATATAATAAAAGGCTGAAAGGTGTGGGGGGGACACACAACACAGAACGCAGCCTGCACGTGCTCCTCACCCCCAAATCTCTGCGAT